CATGCCTGGCACACATTTTTAATCTTGTTTTCTTTATTTTTGTTTTTTTTTTTTAATGTAGTACCAGAAATCGAACTGACAACCTCGCATTTGCCAGGCAGGTGCTCACGCCACTAAGCTATATCCCCAGCCACACTTTTAATCTTGAATTATCGTAGCTTTTTTTTTTTTTTTTTAACATGTCTCTGTGTTTGTAACAGAGGTTTCAAAACAAACACCAAGAATCTGATTTTAGATAAGAATTTTAGTTGGAAAAAAGAAACAGCTCACAAACACAAGACCAACACTCTTCTGGCTTGTTTTGCTGTTGTGTTTTTGTTTTTTGAGACAGAGTCTTGCTACATCGTTCAGGCTGGCCTTGAACCCATTATGTAGCCCAGGCTGGGTTCCAATTTGCAGTGATCCTCTTGCCTCAGCCTCCCAATTGCTGGGATGACAAGTGTGCACCACCACTCCTGGCTGAGTCTTCTGGCTTTAAGACTGTCCTGTTACATTTTTTGTTTCCTTTCTTCTTCCTCTTTTTTTTTGGTGCTGGGAATTGAACCCCGAGCCTCAAATATGCTAAGCACTAGCTCAACTGCTGAGCTACACACATAGCCCCTGGAGAGAGTTTCCCCTATACTTCAGATATGTGGAATGTGGTTACTCAACCAACCAGTCTTAATTCAAGCGTTCAGTGAACTCATGCATAAAATCATGTGTGCATCCCTAAAACCAAAAAGGAAATGGTCTATGGCTCCCCAGAACATTGTAAAGGTCCAGTTTAAAAAAAATTTTTTTGGTGTCAGAAATCCAACTTGGGACTTTGCGCTTGCCGGTAGGTGCTGTACTGTTATTTCCCTGGCCCTAAGTTCCAGGCTTTTCTTTCTGTCTTTTTGAAACAGAGTCTCACTATGCAGTTCAGGCTGGCCTTGAGCTTACTTTGTAGCCCAGGTTGGTCTCGAACTTGCAATGATCCTCCTGCCTCAGCCTCCAGAGTGATGGGATTACAGGTGTGTGCCTCCATGCCCGGCCCTAACCTCCAGTTCTAATATAATTTAAATGTAGTTCCCCAGCCAGTGTCATCCTTCCCGAAGCCTTTTTGCTAGAGGCCCAGAAGACTCAAGCCTGTGACTCTGGGCAGCAAGGGGAAAGGTGTCCCCAGCTGTCCCCTTCAGTTCCCTTGTTCTGCTTCTCCGATTCCTGCCAAAACGAGAGATGGGAGCCACCTGGAGGCCGGGATGACGGTCACATGTACAAGGCAAGGCTGAGCAGGAGGCCAGGAGGAGCTGGGTCCAAGATGTCCCTAAATGGCTCCATCCTGGAACTACTTCCTGATTCCAAAGAAAGACAAAAGCCCAAGGCACTGGGAACTGCGGTTTTTGTACACAGGGGCACGACAGATACCAAAACAACGGCCTCTTACACACTCCAAGGTGCAGCACAGATGGCGGTGCAGTCCCTGCATCTGGAGGATCCAGGGCGCTTCCTCGAGCATCTCATTTACAACATCACTGTCCCAGGAAATACGTGCTCACATACACTTTTGGAGGAACTTCAACAATAGCTACTTCTATCAGGCAAATAATGAAAACCTTTTAAACAATAAAAACTAGCCAAATATAAAAATGAGCATCACATAAGGATGGACAATCTAGAGGCGCCAGAAATAAACCCATGCATTTATGAGCAACTTATTTTTTTATTTTTTCCAGTGCCAAACATCAAAGCCAGGGGTTTGGGCATCCTAGGCAAGGGCTCTACCGCTGAATAAAAGCCCTAGGGCGATGGCCAACTGATTTTTGGTAAGGAAGCAACATAATTCAGTGGGAACAGTCTCTCTGACCGTGTCCTGAGGCAACTGCATAGCCACACACAAAGAATGGAGCAACTGGAGTTATGGGGGCATGGGAGGGTATGTACAGAAAAACTCACAATTTTATAGATTAAAAAAGTGAGCCAAGCATGGTGGTGCACACCTGTAATGCCAGCACTCGGGAGGCTGAGGCAGGAGGATCGTTTCAAATTCGAGGCCAGTCTGTGCTACAAAGTGAGCTCAAGGCCAGCCTGAACTACATAGTGAGACCGTCTCAAAAAGACCAAAAAAAAAAGAGAACGAGAGAGACCTCTCTCTATTAAAAAATGTATCAACTAAATGAGAGGTCAAATGCTAAAAAACAGCCATAACTCAACATAAACAACTAAAAAAACAACTAAATGGGACTTCACTGAAATTAAACTTTTGTACTTAAAAAGA